CTGGATTTTGGCAGAGTTTGGGTGCAAGTGGTGGTTATGAATCAATTATGAGTGAGTATTTATAGAGGAGATTGACAAACTAGTCGTTTATGACCATTTATAGCCGTTTCAAACTGTTACAATGATTATTTTTTGAACCAACGTCGACTAATAATCGATTATCACTAATGATAATCGATTATTGGTTCAAAAATTTTTCCGAGATAATCGCTGATAATCGATTATCGATGAAGAAAATCGATTATTTGTTCATGAAAACCCATTTTCTCAAGAACATTTAAAGATAATCGATTATACCCTACAATAATCGATTATTTGCGAATCAAAAAAGGATGTTTCTTGAGACCAGAGATAATCGATTATGACCTTTTCATAATTGATTATTGCACGATGTTTTACGAAAAACACAATTTTGACATGAATTTCAATCCTAAGACATAAATTGTATCAATGTATTCAATGGTACAATCACCTTTTTGGATGTGGTCTCTTAAGAAGTGATGTCTAATTTCTCTGTGTTTTGTTCTGAAATGCATTATGAGGTTCTTAATTAAGTTTATAGAACTTTTATTATCACATTTTAAAAGAATATGATCAAGGAAAATATCAAAGTCTTTCAATTTTCATCCAAAGAAATTGGATATTGTGGAACTTTTCTAAATAGAATATTTGGAAGAAAAGGCCTTTGTCAATTCTTTATAAATACATCTTCTAGTTTTTGGCATAAATTGCTTTTGCCTTTACAAGAAGACAACTGAAATTCTCATCCGTTGAACACATACTTATAATTGTTAGGTGTATAAAAAATGGTTGGTTTTGATAGTTGTGTATGTAACTTCTTCTTCTATAGTCTTAAGCTTGTTGAGGTTTATTAAAAAAAGCATGGACAAATTGGATATGGATATATGCTCAAGATAGTCTTTGTTTTTTTTCGAACCTCATAAACATAGAGACAATTGACATTTGATGTTTTTTTAGGGGGCACATGGAAGCTTAGTATTGTTGGAGAATTTTTTTTGAAATTTTTAATGGATATCTGGATCTTTTGATCACTGACAATGTGAAAGCCTTTTAAATAATTTATTTTGGATTTTTATGTCAAACGTTATTGTAGAGCACATAAATTTACATTCCATGAAAAAAATACTTGAAGTAAATTTAGACAGGTCTATAGAAATATTTGATGTAAATTTATGTTAGACAATTTTATAGATCTAGCGTAAAAGTACAATATTACATCAGACTATATTAGGTCAAACATACAAAAAAAACTTACATTAAAATAAATATTTTTAAACTTGTTTTAATTGAAGGTGTTGCATATGAAAGATTTTAATAAAATTCAAAAATAACATATGAATAGAAAACCAAACTTAGAAAAGAAATTTGAAAAAAAAAAACAAAATTGAAATGTAAAAATTAAGTATTTAATATCCTTTAAAACTAGATACCCGTGACATTATTAACCGGAGATGGTAGCCATAAAAATAATAAATGTGATATGAATATATATATATATATATATATATAGTGTTAGTTTATAGTTGGAATTAGAACTCTAAACTAATTTGATGGCCAAATATACTATAGTAAATCGAACTATAGTCTCATATATTCAAACTTAATACTTTTATACTTTTAGTAGACAATTATTATGTTTAATATACTTGAAATAATTTAGTATAGTTTTATTTTATTTACTCAAATATATTAGCTTAAGATGTATGTTTGTGTTTATCTTATAATTGTAATGATCATGCTTTTTTACATGTGAACAAGTAATAATGCATGTTCTGAATAATTTCTTAATTAATGTGGTCAGGAAGTATTTATGTACGTTTAAGGAGATTTTAGTGTTTTTAATGTCTATATGTGTAAATATTTTATTTTTGGATGATACTAAATATTTTTACGAAATTTATATTTTATATATGTATGGTGTGTGTGTTTTATATAATTTAATTTTATTATAGTAATAATGAGTCGTGAAACATTATACTCTTATTTAATTACATTAATATAAGTAAAATGTTTGAATTCTCTCCTAATAAAAAATTTGTAACTCAAATGTAAAATTTGTAGAACTAATAAAAATTTAATAATAAATTATCCCAATCATTATCAGAATAAATTTTGTGCTGTTAAGAAATAATAAATTTTATTGCTATTTTATAGTTTGCGTTTGACTTAATGTCAAAAACAAACCTAAGAATGAATATATATATATATATATATATGTACTTTATTTTTGTTATATATATATATGTGTGTGTGAAATATCAAATCCATAATATTTTGTTTAGACCAAATCCAGTATGGTTCCATTTATAATAAAACATGGAAACATGAATTATGTATTTCTTTTGTTCCACCTATAAGAAGTAAAAGTGATTGAATTTTGAAATAGATGTGGTACAAAATGAAAAGATAAGCAAAGTACCAAATTAATAAGACAAGTCATTGAACACTGAGAAAAGAGCAAAATGTACCTTAGATAAGTTGAGAAACCTTATCCAATGTCATCTTTATGTTGGGGAACCAAATCACATGTTCTTGGATTTCATCTCATTCAAAAACACATCACAAAACAATTCTAATTTCTCATATAATATATACATTTAAAATTTTTTTTATCTAATTTGATGAAATTTATCTCATCTTCTTGATACTTTTTATTCTGTCAAATCAATTTTATCAAAATGGGACCATCCAGAAAATAATTTATGGGAAAGTTAACTTGTATGACCAATGAAAGTCAAAAAATAAGAAACATATCACTCTTTCACTTTCACTATATATATTTTTCTAGAGACAACTGCTTCTATTTTTACTAACCAATCATATTTATTTTAGCCATCCAAATTAACATTTTGAGAATTTTCTAGATAATCATAACTTCTTCACCCTGAATTAAAGGAAAAAAATAATTGAGGAAGTCACAAAATGTTAAAAAAGGTGTATTTTATCTGAAAGTTTTTTTTATTTTTTATTTTTATATAGTATGTTTTCCTCTGTTTTGTCTTTAGATGGTAATTGGATTTGAACATAATTACTACTGAAGGTTTCCTATTATTATTATTATTATTATTATTAAAAAGAAGAAGAATAATACTAGTCAGAGTAAATCTGAATTTAGTAAATTGCAGTATCATAAAAACAAAAACTTTAAAGATTAAATGTAAGATCTTATTTATAATGTTTGGAAAAAGTTATATAAATCCTCTTTGAATTAATTTACGAAAACGACTTATAGTTTTATAAGTTTATTGTTGTATCATATAAAATGAGTTTCAATGGTATAAGCTATAATGTAATATAAGTTTATTAGATGAGAATTCAGTTACATTTATTATTAAGGATGTTTGTAAATGTACAGTATTTTTTTGAGTTCCAAATAACTAGCGTATTATTAAAATTATATCAATTTAAAGTTATGAATGTAAATGTAATATTTTACCACATGTGTGTTTATTTTTTTAATATTATAGGTTTGAAAACATTTTACAATGTTAATCAAATATTAATCAAACAAGGAAATTCAATAGTCATGAGGATAATTGTAAATCTATTTTGCCAACAATTATGTAAGATATCTTCTCAAATATATATAATCATTCTATTTACACTAAAATAAAATATATTAAGAATTTACTTTTTACCAAACTTTTGAGACGAATCAACTCCAACAACATAACTTACGTTATTCCATCGAAAGGTCGAGATAGTCGAGAGGTCAAGAATTTAGGTGATTGAGTGATTAAGTATGTAATTGTATTAGCTTATTATTTGTATTTTAGCATGCTTAAAGTATTGTTAGATTTTAACATGAAAAATTCATAATTATATAAATAATAATATTTTTTTAAAAAAAATTTACTTCAAAAATAAAAAACATTTAAGTATGAATCGAAATGACTAAATTAAAGATAAAAAAATTAACTGTCATAAAACAAAGATCGATCAGCATGTAACTTTGAAGATGACGATAGAAAGAAACGTCGTCATTCTTATATAAATTTGCTTATAACTCTTTGATACTTAATCTCTCTATTCCATGTCTTTAAAAAATTGAATTAAGTAATGATTACTCCTCAAATTAAGAAATGATTGTCTCCTACATTGAAATTGGGGATTAAGTAAACAATATAAAAATCGAGCCAGCAAAAGAGATTATCTTAATGATTAAACTGTTTGATTAATATCTTTATTAAGATCGATGTTATATGACCAAATACGACCTCACTTTGCTTAACTCTAAATTAATTGTTTATTAGCTTAATGTCTCCGTCACTAATAACCAAGAGGATATGATTTTTCCACTTTGGGATATAGCATGTGTTTCGAAATCTGATACCACATTTCTATATTTTCTGCTCCCTCTTCTTCTGTCACATGTTTATTTCATATTCATGGCCACTTTACAATATTAATTTTATATTCATTTTTTTATTATGTTCTAACTGTTTATTATGAACGAGTAAATAAAAAGTATGAGAAAAGAAAAATCTAGTTATGGTAAACTGTAGTTTATGATAAGATTTTATATGGATCTATCTATAGATCTTTATTATTGATCAATAAAAAAAATTGTGATTAGAAAAGAAAAAGCAGTGATTATAGGAAAAAATAGTACTTATTAGCAGAATCTTAATAAAATAATATATGTGTGCGTCACTTTTTGGAAATTTCAAAGATGACCCACTAATTATAATAATAAAAAACAATCTCTATGGGAGAACCCTTTGAGGCCATGGTAGAGCCACGTATGAAGCAATGGAAAATGAAGATCGAATGAAATGAAGAGTCTTTAACTCAATGCTCAAAAGGGTAACAAAATTATAGAATGCCCAACGTGGAAACAATCTGATGCTGCGATGAGAGGTTAAAAGAGTTGCAAAATTCGGCAAAACTTTACTTTTGGTAATTCCAAAACATTTTCTTTATTCCATTATCAGTTTTTTTCTTTTATATTATTGTTACTGTTGTTTTTGTGGGGGAGGTGTTGTTTGTTCTGTACTTTTGTTTTATTTTTTTGTTGTGTGTTTTTTCTCTTTTTTGTGATTTTCTTATAATATGAAAAATGTTTGGAATTTATGAGGCTGTCAAGCTTCAATGTGCTTGTGTGCAACTAGAAAGTTTTTGTTGTGTGGTTCTGTTGCGAGGTTGGCCTAGCAGAAACAGGAGATCCTCCTATGGTGTCACTGGTACACCTCTATCTCTCTCTCTCTCTCTCTTCTTCTTCTTCGTCTTTCTCTCTTTGTCTCTGTGTCTTGAAAACGTGTATCTCTTTGTCTACCCGTTTACTAACTCTGATGGGTGGGTGGTGGGCAATTTTGATCAATTTGGATAAAGTTTGGTGCTTTTTTTGGAGGGTCTGCGTATGTTTTCTCTAGTGTTGGAGTTGAGAAACCTCTAACCTTTGTGGAAGAGTCTGTGTATCTTTTTCTTTTGGTTTGGTTTTTGGTATCTTGAATTTTAATCATCTGTCCCTATTAAAAAATTACTTTTTTTTTTCTTTTACTGTAGTTATCTGAATATATATTGGTTTTTGTTTAAAGGGATAGATTGTATACTGAAGAGTTTGTGATTTCATGGTGCTGACTTCACTGGAAGTTGTGATCGTGTGAAGTGTGAAAAGGGTGAGAGGTAGATTTTGATACAAGGGTCTTTGTGGTTTTTCTGGAGGCAGTGAAATGAGTTTTGAATTATAATGGTGATGGTGGAGGTGCAAGAGTGTGAGGGAAGTTGGAGGAGGATCATAGTTTTTGGATGTGTTGTTGTACTTGGCCTACGTGCAACTCTAGCTGGATGAAGATGGAGGGTTCTTCAGGGTCTGCTTTTCAGAATTCTGGCAGTTCCAGGGCTTTGAACAGTTCTGGAGTCTCGGATAGGAACCAAAGAGTTCATTATCCCGAAAGGAACCCCTTCTCGGGTGAGGCATCTCAGGATTCGGGGTACAAGAAGGAAAGGGAAAGGGTTCCGTTGGGTCAAGGTGATCAGGCAAAAAATTTGGGTGGTGGGTTTTCTGGGTTGTGTGAAGATGAAGTTGAGGTTGACCCGTTTTATGGTGCTGTGGAATGGGGTGATATTAGCTTGAGGCAGTGGTTGGATAAACCAGAACGATCGGTGGATGCCTTTGAATGCTTGCACATATTTAGACAAATAGTAGAAATTGTTAGTGTAGCGCATTCTCAAGGAGTTGTAGTTCATAATGTGAGGCCTTCCTGTTTTGTCATGTCTTCTTTCAACCATATCTCGTTTATTGAATCAGCATCTTGTTCAGATACTGGCTCCGATTCTTTAGGAGAAGGATTAAACGACCAAGGTGGTGAGATCAAAACTCCAACATCTCTCTGTCCCCATGATATGCATCAGCAGAGCTTGGGAAGTGAAGATTTTGTGACTGTCAAGACATCTACAACCACTGCTCGCTCAGATTCTAGTTGCATGCTGTCGAGTGCTGTGTATGCAGCTCGTGCATCTTTGATAGAAGAAACAGAAGAACATAAAATGAAAGATAGGAGGAAGGATGAAGAAGTGGAAGGGAAGAAGCAATCATTTCCAATGAAGCAGATACTGCTAATGGAGATGAGTTGGTACACTAGTCCTGAAGAGGTTGCTGGTGACTCTAGTTCTTGTGCTTCAGATGTTTATCGATTAGGGGTTCTTCTTTTTGAGGTTCATAACAGAAACTGTATAACTCTTAAGTTCTTATATTTTAACAGGGTCCTTTGATACGCTTTATCTTCTTCACTTTGTTGTTACAATGGATGTATGATACAGTGTTGAAAGTCCCTGTTTACATTTGTATGTAATCTAATTCTATTAACTTGCATGTGACCAGGTATTTTGTCCGCTAAGCTCGAGAGAAGAAAAGAGTAGAACCATGTCTAGCCTTAGACATAGGGTTCTTCCTCCACAGTTACTTCTAAAGTGGCCCAAAGAAGCTTCCTTTTGCTTGTGGTTACTGCATCCTGACCCTAGTAGTCGTCCAACACTGGGGTAATTGTCTTCATAGCATGGTTTTTACTTCTTTTTTTCATATTGCAAGACAAAATTCCAACTTGTTTGTTATATGTTCCAATTACTTCCATTTGAATGCCTGCTTTTCTTACCCCTTTTTGTTTTCTATTTCTTCAATTTTTGAGATACTAAAAGTTTTTTATTCTGCTAATTGGCAATTTATTTTGAATTAAGCCTTTATTAGCTGTTTTTACATTAAATTCCTGAGATTATATAAGCTTTAAAGTGTCTGATTTACTTATCTCTTAGATTCAAGGCCCACTATAAAGTGTCTATTCCAGAAACTAATTAAATAAGTTCAATAATAATATAGAATGAGCATGAGAGTTTATGTTGTAACTTTTGCCTAATCTTGCTGTGTTGGATTGAATTTAGTTTTTCAAAAAGTTTTATGTCAGATATTTATGATTTTTTTGAAGGTGGAAGATAGGTAATAAATCATTTGCCAAAACAAATATGACAATATTGTGTTGCATTTGCTTTCTTGTTGAAATATTTTAGGATTTTCTACCCTAAATACGATTTTTTTAATATTTCTCTCTGTAAGAATTCATGGGAATTTGAAGCTTCAATTGGGTTTTGTCTCACGTGAAGAATCATAGCTTTTTGCACCATATGCTATAGGGATACAACTAGTGTCCATTTTTAATCCTGTAAGAAACATTACATATTTTTTAAACCAATTGTTGTGTTGCAGGGAGTTGTTGCAGAGTGAGTTCCTTAATGAGCAAAGAGATGATATGGAAGAACGTGAAGCAGCGATAGAGCTGAGACAAAGGATTGAGGATAAGGAGTTGCTGCTAGAATTCCTTTTGTTACTTCAACAGAGGAAACAGGAAGTTGCTGAGAAGTTGCAACACACTATCTCTTTTCTGTGCTCAGATATTGAAGAAGTGACTAAGCAGAAAATTAGATTTAAAGAGATTACTGGTACTGAACTGGGGAGTGATGATCGTTCAGCATCAAGTTTCCCATCAATGACAGTTGTGGACAGTGATGATTCTGCATATGAAGGGACTAGAAAACGAGTCAGACTAGGGACTCATGTTAAAAACAATGAGGAATTTGATGATGATGATGATGATGATGATGATGATGGAGGAGGTGATCAGAAAAGTAACGGAAGTTTTCTTTCAAAAAGTTCTCGGTTAATGAAGAACTTTAAGAAACTCGAGTCAGCATACTTTTTAACACGATGTAGACCGGCGTATTCCTCTGGGAAACTGGTGAGTAGGCATCCTCCTCTAGCAAGTGATGGTAGAGGTTCTGTTGTTTTGACTGAAAGAAGTTGCATCAATGACTTGAAATCAAAAGAGCAGTGCAGGGAGGGTGCAAGTGCTTGGATAAATCCTTTTTTAGAGGGATTGTGCAAGTATTTATCATTCAGCAAGATAAAGGTTAAGGCTGACCTAAAACAAGGGGATCTTTTGCATTCATCCAACCTTGTATGCTCACTCAGTTTTGATCGAGATGGAGAATTTTTTGCTACTGCTGGTGTGAATAAGAAGATTAAAGTGTTCGAATGTGATTCAATCATAAATGATGATCGTGATATCCACTATCCAGTTGTGGAGATGGCTAGCAGGTCAAAGTTAAGCAGTTTATGTTGGAATGCATACATCAAAAGTCAAATTGCTTCAAGTAACTTTGAAGGTGTTGTGCAGGTAAGTCCATTGCCATGCATGAGTTGTTTATGTTATGTGCAACAATGTTGTAACTTATCATCTTCTTATTCAGTTGTGGGATGTGACAAGAAGCCAAGTACTCTCTGAGATGAGGGAGCACGAGCGGCGCGTCTGGTCCATTGATTTCTCGTCAGCAGATCCAACAATGTTGGCAAGTGGAAGCGATGATGGTTCTGTCAAGCTATGGAGTATCAATCAGGCAATTCCATTTTTGCACTTGGTGGATGTCAGCTTTGAAACTAAACGTACTGCAGTCATCTGTTGCATGTTTTATGTATATTATGCTGGATGTGTAATGAGTTGTTTCTCTCACCTGGGATGTTTCTGCAGGGAGTTAGTGTTGGAACCATCAAAACCAAGGCAAATGTATGCTGTGTTCAGTTCCCACTGGATTCTTCTCGTTTCCTTGCATTTGGTTCAGCAGATCATAGGATATATTACTATGATCTTCGCAACCTTAAAATGCCACTCTGTACTTTGGTTGGACATAACAAGACTGTCAGCTACATCAAGTTTGTAGACACTGTCAACCTTGTCTCAGCTTCCACAGATAACACTTTGAAGCTTTGGGATTTGTCTACGTGTGCATCCCGAGTTATAGACTCACCGATTCAATCTTTCACAGGTCACGTCAATGTTAAGGTATTTATCTTTTCACATACTGCATTAATCCTTGTTCATGGAGTTGCATTCTTGTTCTTTATGTTTGGGATCCACATACTGCTCAAATTAATTGATAGACCTTTGTTTACATTTGATGGTCTAAGTTTACATTTGAATTGTTTACAGACATGTTTCAACTCAAATATCAACTTGGAACACCGTTTAATACATAAAAGAAAAGATTGAATTAAAATAATTATATCCATTCATTTTTATTTTTAGTTTGGAAACTAAAATGTACCAAAAGTTTCATATTATAACGAATTCCAACTATGCATCGAAGTTTATAAACTTAAAACATATTTAACCTATACATTTTCATATAAGTCACTTTTTATTTTCAATTTTGAGGTACTACATATTATCTTGCTGATGCATCTTCCCTTTGTTGCAGAACTTTGTGGGATTATCGGTATCTGATGGTTACATTGCCACTGGTTCAGAGACAAATGAGGTATTTCATTCATGTTCCTTGTCTATATCTCAGTTTTCCTGTTGATTTTACAGTACTAATGAAGGTAAACATTCTGTGTGCATCAGGTTTTCATATACCACAAAGCCTTCCCAATGCCTGCACTGTCATTCAAGTTTCAGAACACAGACCCTCTTTCCGGTAACGAAGTGGATGACGCGGCGCAATTCGTGTCATCCGTTTGTTGGCGGGGTCAGTCGTCCACCTTGCTCGCTGCAAATTCGACAGGGAATGTCAAAATTCTGGAGATGGTTTAGGTTGCTGACCTCTACACAGCATTCTACAATGATATACAAAGTTTGCTGAGCATGAGGTGACAGAACCTTTGTTTAAGATTAGCTTCTGTTGCCATTAAATGCTATACAAAGGAGTATATAGATTCCTTGATTATTATTCGCAAGTTGTAACATAACAAATTTTTGCATTAGTAGTTCATAGCGGAAGCAGTTAAAGAGAAGAGTGAGGTTGATCTCTTGCAAAACAAAACAAGTTCTGTAGATAGTGTCACATGGAAAAAAAAAAAGTGAAGGTCAAAATCTATATCAGATTTTATTACGTTTATGATCCATATACAATTTGATAGTCATAGTGGAAGCTAATATGTTTGTGTAGAATTCGTAATATCTACTGATAAAAATCTACTGTTTTTAACGAATTTTCTCCGTTAATTAAATATAAATTATACACAAGTTACCAATCACTTTTTTAAGTTGAATGAATTGGTAGTTTTAAATAATTATATTCATATTTTCATCTTTGACTAGTTTTTTTTAGGAAAACTAATCTTTGACTAGTAATTACAATTTACAGCATGATCCTACTTCATGATGATTCCCACAATGAATGATGGAAAAATTGTATTCTCATATAACTGAGAACATTGTTTTTGAGCCAATTAGCTCTATTATTACATCTTTTTTTTTTTTTTTAAATTTTAAAACCTTTCTTAACAATCTTAAAGCATATAACCAAATACATTTTTTAAGTATTGTTCAAACCAATTTTCCTGAATCCAAAGAGTAGTATTCGCACGAATGTGATTCAACAAAAACAGTCTCAAATTGAAACAGATGCACAGAGATAAAAAAGAAAAAGTAATACTTGCTTAATTGTTACATAATAAGAAGTGATAATCTAAAACATACCAGAACATAACCAAAGAGAACGAATAAGATTGTGCTTGTCACCAAAAACCAACGTTCCTTTCCACCACAATCTTTTCCAAATTGTTAAAACATGTCTTAATATATCAGTTAACCATTGCAACTACACTAGAGAAAAGTAAAAAAATAAATAAACCCAGAGGTCCACTGAAATATTGATCATGATAAATAAATTATCCAAAATCTGTTGTATATCAAAAAGATTGTGACTGAGACATGAAGTAATGGAAAACGTAAACAAAAATGTATAAAATTCTGGGATCATGACGCAGCTAAAGAATTGTGTTACCTCTAAGTAAGCAAGACCTACAAAAAGAATGATGACCCTCATGCCATCTTTGGTACTTCACATAGAGGCAACTAACTACAGCTAAGTTGGGGATTGATCATTGATTTGCTATATTATGAATGAGGTGCAATTTCACTATAACATCAGAAACTTGTCTTTCCTTCAAGTAGGTAGGTGCTGGAATACTAATGTATCTGGTTATAAACATAACCTTCATCTATTCAGCTCTTCCATCCACAACCACAAAGGTTCTCAACAGGATCTATTTACACTGATCCTCACCAGACTTAGCCTTCAAAATTAGCCCAGTGACAAGGCGATGAAGTTTTTGAGACCCTGGACCAGGTTTGAGTTTATAAATGTTCCCAATCTCAGAACATTTGGGTCTTCCAGCACACCAGCCGCCAAGAGGGAATAGTCCATTTCTCCTACGGAGAATTTTCTTATCAATCACATCCAAGGATGGATCATCTTGATTAAATTTTCTAGCAAAGGCAGCACCACTTTCAAACATTTTATCTGTGTCATTAATGTTAAGGACATGAGGGTGCTGTTTAGGAGGGTTGTCCCAGGAAATATAATGCAAGTCGTTATTGACAATGGTTTTAGCTAACTCTGGCACATTGCATGCAACAGTCTGAAAGTATCCTTCAGGGGAAGACAAAAAATTAGTGTAGTACATGAGAAGGGTTCTTGGCAGATTGTCCCATCCCCATATAATATACTCAACAAAGTCATGTGACAAAACCATCCATGCTGAACCTGCAATGTGTGTACAATAATTCAACACAAAATCTTCAGAAAGCAATGTAAAAGGAATGCATCTAATAATGTAAAGGATTTGTACGCTATCATGTATGATTGTTATTAACTTATACAATCACTATCTTAAAAATCATCTCTAACACGATTTAACATGGGTTAACAGTGTAAGGATATTTTATACTGTCAGGTGCATAGATTTTAAACTTAAGTAAACAATGCAAGTGGGAAATTGATGATAAGCCAGAAACCAGCCATGGTAACTTATATGGACTAGTTTTGATAAGAAAGTATAACCTTGGTTCTGATATCTTAATAAGTTATCTGGTTCATTTAATTTTCTAGAAGGACATAGCTTCTCAGTGTGGAATTCAAATGTCTCCATGTGTATTTTAAATAACTTATGTTCTTACAATCCGTGAAATGTGCTTGTTTCATGAGAGATTCTCTGTTTGGGCATTTGGACTAGGAAAAATTGTTTTTGTGGCTGGGGAGGGAGGACTGATCAAGGTAAATAGACTGTACCATTCTCTAAGACTGTACCATTCTCCTAATTTGCATGTCAACCTTTAGAAAAGCGACTAATGACAAAGAAATAGATGGTAAAGTGGAGAACACTAACCAGTGAAAAGTTTAAATGCTGTTGGCAAGGGTCTCTTAGGTTCGACCCAAAATACATCAGATTTGTTTGACATGTAAAGCCCGGGGTCTACAATTAAAGGCATTGCTCGCTTATCACTGCATATGGTTCAAATTATCATTATATATGTAAATACAGGTCTCATATGTCATGGGGGGAGGGGACAATTCGTTATCCTATGTCAAGGCTGTTTGTATCATATGAATAAGAGAAGCAAGAACTTACAACTTCCATCCTAAGTGACTTGTGTGCTCAATGAAGTTAAGGCCTCTATCTAAATCTGAAAAAGTAAATAGTAGATCTGCACAAAATTAATTTCATATTAGTCTAACAACTGGGCAGAAAAAGTTGTAGTCCTAAAAAGTATGAGTCAGAAAAAATTCAAATAGAAACAACGTAGGATAATAAAGTTACCATCCTGAGTCACAAGAGGATAGTCTGAAGCACTAAGATTAATGAACCAATCCCAATCTTTACTTCTCTTGAGCAGAATGGCACAAGCATGAAGAGTATTAGAAACCATGGTTGGTCCTCGGTAAGTGACCATGTTAGACTTTGTGATGAAATAAACGTTTCCAACCTCAGCGAAAACATGTTGTCTTTCAATTCTATGAGCAATCTCATTCCTTTCCTCTATGGGCGATTCAAGGTCCATATGAACAACATAATGGTTTAGTGGATGATAGAGAGCATGGAGAGTTCTCCAAAGCTTTTCCAAATCACCTTTTGAACCAGAAATTAAATAGGCAAAACGAGGAATCCCAGGCTTAGCCGGTGTCGGAGCAGGAGCAGGAGTAGCCCTCTTCTCCTTCAAAACTGGGGAAGTCTGGTTTGAGCGTAAATGAGATGGGAGAAAGAAGAACAGTGAATTGATAGAGTGAATTGAAGACACAAGACCCATGTTGAAGGATGTGACTAGAAAGAGCATGCATATGGCTGAACACACTAGGAAAGGATATAACCATTTCTTCTCTATGTTTAAGAACCCCATAACTGAGAACTATCATGGATAATACTTCACATTCTAGATTCCATTCATAACTTCAACACAATTTGACAATTCACCATCAAACAGCCACCACAACACACATATTTAGCATCCTCCTCAAATATCTTCTCAACAACCTCTGCCTTGGAACAGTGTCTGTTGCATCAAAATCAAATATTATATTCTGGAAACTGTATAGTTCTCTAACTATTTAATAAACGAAGGAATCACAGTTCCGTAATCAAACAGGTTAAGCACCAATAAGCAAATCGGTAATTAGAAACACAAAAATATACGCATCTATGCATGTCTGGTGAAACGAGAGACAATCCTGAACATAATGAAAGAATCGAAGAAAAAGAGGCCAAAGAATATTAAAAGCATTAAACAACAACGGATTTTGTCCCTGACAATGACGAGGTGAGAAGAAAAAAAAAGTAAGCGAATGGCGGAACGAAATTGATCACCAGAAAACAATAGCCCGAAAAGGCAACGATCTCTAACAAATCGATAATTACTGAAATTGAATCAAGATGGATTTTTAGCTCAAACAACGGTTCAAAAATATTTATCAACAGAATATGATCATCAAAAGAACAAAACAACACGAAAAGAAAAGAAAAGAAAATAAAAAGAAGAAACCCCAAATGAACAATTCTTTGATTCAATCTTTCACAATCCAAGAAACAGCAGAAACACAGAGGAACAAAGAGAGAGAAAAAGAACCTGCATGAGGAAGAACAGCAGGAGCCGAAACCAAAGGGTAAGCATATTCAAATAGAAAACATTAAAAGAAATATGTTTAGTGTGAATTATCATTATAATTATTATTATGATTGTGATTATGCAGATCAAAGTAATGAATTTACTGCAGAGATAAAGACGAGAGACAAACCAGTTTTGCGATGCAGGAGTTGTCCACGTCTAAGAATGACATGAGAGAGAGTGTGAGAGTGACAGAGAGAGAGAATCAAACGTTGAACATAAATTGAACAAGAGAAAGAAAGGTGTTTCTTTTGCTTTCGTAACTTCTGAGTTATAGCTTGTAAAATGTACGTTCATTTCAAAGTGCTTCAATCTACGTGTCAGACAAAGCGCTTCCATTTCTTTTTGTACCTCTACACACATATTTATCATTTCTAACTTTTTAAATTCTACCAATATAGGTAACCCATTATTAATGCTTTATAATATAAGATAGAGTGAATATAGATTTTAGATAGAAAATGTAAAGTAGTTTATGTGTATATGAAAAAAGATTTTTCCCCTTTAAATAGTTTGTAGAAAAATATTTTCCAAATATATTAATAGTATATTTTAATTAGTATTGTGTGATTTTTTATTTATAAAAGCTACTAATTATTTGTTATTAGATAATTGTGTTTATGTTGGTTTATAAAGATTGATGTTTTAATAATTTGGATTAGGTTAACGTTGATAAAGAGATGATTGAAACAAATTGATGTTACTAGTTGTAAGTGTCTATCATTGTCACAATGCTTGATAAGCCAAACACAAGAGGGGTAAAGGAGTTTGTTAAATAAAAATTTCCTTCAATTAGTTCTATTTGGAGAATTTATTATTCGTCCAAATCATTAATTATCTGAAGAGAGAATGGATTATTATTTTTTGTTTTATTCAATAATTTATTAGGGTAATTAATTATGAATTGAATATATAAAAATTAATAAAATTTAACGATAACCTGATTCATAATATTTTCATCAATTGAGGTTAACCGATTTAAGATTAATACATATACAATACTGTTT